ATAGTATATTATCTATGTATACTAGAATTATAGATCGCAGATTACATTTTTCGTAGTTTTTTTTGAACAATGAGAATTAAGACAGAGATCTAGGCTTCTGGATGATAGCATTGTGTTAGCAGAATACAAATGGAAAACGATTTTGTATACCCATATATTAATAATTAAAGTAAATTATCTATTTTCAACTATAAATTAATAATTAAAGTAAGATATATACTTTTTAATGACTTTATTATAGCGACGTTAGGTAAGGTGTCAAAGAAGACTTATACAATAAATATTTTTAGGATATTTAGTATTAGTAAAAGTAGTATATTATAGTAAAAATAATTTGTTAATAAAATACAGTTTAGATCAGTTCCACACTACAACGATTGTATTACCGTATCCCTTACAGTGAAATAAAAAAAAAGGGGCTATGCCAGCAACTGTCCGTGCTCGCAGCTCTGGCAACTACCCACTGTCCACTTTGATCTAATGAGTCGTATAAATGCCGCCCGGCAAAGGACATCGGCGCATGGTTCTTGGGTTGTGCTGCCGATAGCTGTCAAGGCGAGCAATGAAAAATGACCAGTCAATGTCTCACTTCAATGGATGAGCAAACAGCGAAAGGCGAAAAGGCGAAAAGGCGGACAGGCGGAAAGGCTGCGCTCTGCTCTCGGGTGGTGGTGGAAATGAGCCAAAGCGACCAAAATGTGACACTTTTCCATTGCGAAAATAGTGCATTTTATAGAAAAGTCGAAATCGGGCACGAGGGGAGCAGCAAATTGCAGCTGCTCAAATTTAGAGTCGATATCAAAAACATTTCGATCCATGGGCTTAAGCTGTGCCAATTTCGGGGGGTTGCAAAGGATTCCTAATGATCCAAAAGTTCGACAAACAAAATTCAATGATAAATCGATGGGGAAGGAGAAATTATGAAGTGTATGAAAATTTAAAATAAATCATGAGCGGAGTGTAGAAGAATGTCTAGATATTTTTGGAGTTTTTATATTTACGTGTTGTAAATAAATTTAAATATGGATTTTGTATATAATAATAAATATGGAATAATTCTATATTCAATTTTAAATTGTAATTAAGACACTTAAGAAATCTATAATTGAGTTTTGCGACATTTTTATTAATTATTCATTTATTTTATTTATAATTA